GGCTGCCGAAGCAGGGATAGTGCTCTCGAAGACCCCTGTAGGCCCTTTTCTACCGGCCACCGCCCCAGATGGCGACTGGCTGCAGAGTTCCATGGACTCCGCCGAGGCTTCCAACTAGCTGACGGGACTGCTAAGGGACCGCGACCCCTCAACAGCGAGGGTTGCCACACAGTCCTTGAAACACAATGCTGTTGGGAGGTTGAGCAAATACGGCATTGTGGGCGAGACACAGACACTCTTGTCACGTTATCCGACTGGAGCTTTGAGTACATTAGCCTACTCGAGAGATGCCCTTAGTGGCCCCCTCCGGCAGCCGGAGGAAATGCTGAAGCAGGTACGGGAAGGCTCGTTTTGCCCGGACGCTATTCGAAGTGGATACTTTGCCCGAGCCCAAGGATGAGAGGCAGGTGCATCTGTTGACCTCGGGTCCTGACTTCCGATCAGCAAGGTAGGCAGCTTGGATGGGCTGCCCGAGAATTCCGAAAGCACGCATGAGCTTTTGCCAATTTGCCAGCTCTAGTGGAAGGATTTCAGGACAATCTCCTGGGGGTTGGACTGCTTTGCCCCCTGCAAGGGAAGGTCTTTGAGTCACCAAGTGCCATGCCCGTCTTGGAAGCATCCGCACCGTTGATAGCGGAAGGAGAAGAATTAACCCTAGAAAGAAAGTGAGGAATTAGACAAGCTGGCTACCGTGACCTGTGGGCTTTGCGAAACAGTGCTCGATAAGAATGACACACAAGATGCAGATGACAACGGGGAGGCAGAGTTCTCGCCTACCACATCAGCAGACGGGTCCTCCGAGGAAACCTCTGATGGAGCCTCGTCGGAAGAAAAGGAGGAACCAGCTGCGGCCCTGAGTCTGCCGAAGGGTCGGAGAGCGATCCGGAACAAGAAGTGTACCATGCTACATCTGTACAAAGTGGGTCATACGACGCTGAAATGTGGCAAGTGGATCAGCGTTAATTTTGTAGAAATGGAAAAGCCCTCAGCGAAGTGGCTACAGTGCAGCCGTTGTTTTCAGGAGTTAAGAGCGGGGTGACATTGTTGTTGGCCGCTTTGTGTGTATGTGCAGCACAATCCCTTTGTACCAGCTCTCTCTTTTGCAATTTGCAGTTTTGGCCCCACGCCCTAAACATGGCAAACGCAGCGGAGAGTCAGCCTTTCTTCGAGCAACATGCTCGCAAGGTCGGGATGGAGCAGCAACTCTTGGAAAGATTCATAACCGGAGGGGTCAGGACGGTGTCCATGGCAGCCTACGCCGCCACTCAACCGGGTCAACCTCTCACAGACAAGGAGGTCTCCACTCTATGCACGAGTCTGGGGCAGGACAACCCCACTCGTGCGCAATTGACGGTCGTCAAGAGGCTCCTGTTCGAGTGCCGGACCATGAGTCTGGCAAATTTGGAGGCCACCGTGGGACAGCAGCCGGACTCAGTTCTACGTAAGCTGCCAGGAGCTGAGAGAGCCCAGCGCCTGGACTTGCAGGCTCAAAGGAATTGGCGCAAGGCAAGCCAGCCAAGGAACTTGTGCTGGACGCTTCGGGGGACGGCCTCTCGGTTCAGGATAAATCCCCTAAAGTGGCGGCCCAGTTGGGGTCAGACATGGCGACTTACAGAGCGTTGCAAAGACGGGGTCTGGCCTACGACCTCGTTGGCGTGTTGAATCCCAAGGCGCACGAGAAACGGCTTCAGAAGGACTTTGATACCTTGCAGACCCCAGCGCCCCCAGGCTTCAACCGTCCGACGCTGCAGCAGTTCCTGCGAGCAGATCGGGCCTTGTGGAGGGAGCTTGGCAGCAAACAGCCGACCCTGAAAAGGGCAGCGGCGAAGGTGCCGCTCGCGGACGCCCGGTGCTTAGATCAAGTCTTCCTGGAAGCCACAAACACGGTTGCAGTCAATTTTCACTTCATGCCGACACCTCGTGCGGAAGGGTTCACAGATAAAGGAGGCAAAGGCGCGGGCAAGGGCCCCCAACCGTTGGGGCGATGGAAAAGGTATGGGTAATAAAAATATCAGAGGACAGACAAACCAGAGAGGCGAATCAGGGGTCAAGGGAGCCCGCCTCCCCACGAAGGGCAAATTTGACAGTGGCAAGGGCGGCTTTCCGAACCAGTGTGTTGCAAGGAGGCAAGGGGGAGACCCCCATGCCGGCCGCCTTGCGAGGTGGCGTGCCGAACGACGAGCACGGAGATCCTCTTTGTTTTGGCTTCAACCTAGGACAGTGCAAGGATGCCCCATTGGGGGGCAGATGCGCACGTGGCAGACATGTACGCTGTCACCCAGGTTGCTTTCGGAAGCATCCCTTTTCTGAGCACAAGCACTCAGGCCAGGCAGCCTGAAAGAACGCCCCGTTGCAAGGGGTTGACAGCGCCTCCGCGCTGGACCAGGCGTCCCGCGCTGCTCTGACCGCGCGTCGCGCACAAGCGTGCGCGGAGAGAGCGGAAACAGCCATGGGGGATGGAGATAGTTCAGCCCAATTTTGTGAACAGGACAATTTTCCCGCTTCTTTGGCGGACAGGCCCAAAGAGAGCTGCAAGGAGTCGCATCCTGCTGCTGTTGCGAAAGGCCAAGAGAATTAGCCCCCGCTCCTACGGGTGACTGAGCCAATCCCACAGTTTTCCAAGTCTTCCGCTGAGGCTTCCGTATTTTCACCTAAGGCGAGTCATCCTGGCGCGAACAGGTCTGGACAGGCGCAATGTACTGCGCCCCAGACCATACATGAGTGTTGGGTTTTGGAGTTTTTCGCAGGGTCAGCCGGGATTACCTCGGCGGCTGCTTCAGCCGGCCTCAGGCGGTCGGTCGGAGTGGACAAAGTCCGCAGGCCAAGCCTCAAGGGCAAGATATTACAGCTGGTCTTGCTCCTGCTGTCGCACAGAGGTTTGCTGTGGAAATGGCTGGGTTCCCCAGGACTGGCCGCCGTATGGCTGGCGCCGCCCTGCGGCACATCCAGCAGGGCCAAGGAAATCTAGCCTCCTGGGAGGACGAGCCGCATCCTTTGAGGTCAGTGGAGTACCCGGAAGGGCTTCCGGGCCCGAAGGGGTGGCAAAGGCCAACGAGCTTTGCCGGCTCACGGCCCGAAGCTGGGACTTTTGCTGCGAATGCAGCATCGTGGTAATCATAGAAAACCCCTATCGCAGTCTCCTCTGGCGTTGCATCGCCGTTGAACACATCCTGAGGAGTGAACAGGCGATTGTGGTCCAGTGCGACTTTTGCATAATGGGAGGCTCGAAATGAAAGCTGACAGCCTTGCTGTGCAACAACGACCTCATCACAGGCCTGGCTGTCACGTGTGTTGGATCCCACGAGCACCTACCCTGGGAAGTGCACGAGGGAGTTCTCGCAACAAACTTGAGACCGCGTACCCGCAACAGTTTTGTAAGGGCTTCGTTTCCCTGCTGTTGCAGCATCTGACACAGAAGGGTTGTCGGGATGGCCTTAATCTATTGGAGGGATATCCCGCAAACTCCTCAGGAGCCAGGGTGGTAACGACACAGGCAAAGACCAAAAGGGCTGCATCCTTTCAGGTCATCCCCGGATTTTGCCGACGAACCAGATGGACAGTGCCTAGCCAACTCCGCAGCACTCTCCAAACTACACAGTGGTTAGGACTGGACAAGATCCCGGGGTTCAAGGCGCCAGGATCCCCGGCGTTGAGAGTGACGCCCCTACTGTCTTCTGCGACGGACGTTCTGGTGGAGGTGCCGTGGAACCCACAGGAATTTGTGGCGAAAGCCCGACTGGTCGGCTACCCCCGACACCTGTGTCTCGGGGTGCCACCCGCCCTCAGGAAGGTAATTTTGGCGTGCTCTAAACAGCCCGCAGCCAAGGTGATTGAGACTCGAGCAGCGCAGTCACGAAGATGGCTCCAGCGAGCCCAGGAGACCAACCACCAGGTCATCAAGGAAGTTGAGGACTCATCTCAGTTTCTGGAAGAACTGTGGCTGAAAAGTCTCGATGAAGTATCGAAAGGCTGCTCGGAAGGACCGTTCTGAGAACAGGGCTTGCCACAAGGAGCTGTAATCAGCCAACGTTTTGCAATCCAGCAAGGGAGCAAGGTGAGGCTGATGGACGACCTGTCCCAGAGCTACATCAACGAGGCACGCAGGACAAGGACTGCTTGGAAACCATTGACCTGAATCAGCGTATAGGCGACTGCCACTGTCCGAAGAGGCACTCAACATGGCTTACGTGGCGGTCAAGGACCCAAGCTAGGGGGAGGTTCGCTTCTTCAGGCTTCTTTGCCTTCCATTCGGCGCCGTGGCAGCGGTCCACGCGTTCCTCAGGCTCAGCTTGGCTATTTGTCATACAGGAAACACGTTTTGGCACTTGCCTTGGAGCTCGTCTTACGATGACTTCACGCTGTTGTCAACACGACAGCTGGCCCCTAGCGCAGAGGCCAGTGCATGTTTTTTTGCTAGACTTGCTCTGCTTTGAGTTTGACAGAGACGGAGACAAGGCTCCGCCGTTCCAGGAGGTCTTCAGTTCTTTGGGAGTAGAATTTGACCTTACAGACAGCAGCGAGCAAGTTTTTTTTTAGGATCCAGAATACAGCAGAACGAACCAAAAGTCATTGAAGACCTGGCAGTCTTTCAGGAGCAAGGAGCCTCCAGCCCTAAGACCTGGAATCGACTGAGGGGAAGGCTGCACTTTGTGGCGGGCCAACTCTCTCTGGGTGCTTGCCGAAGGGCTTCATGAGAAGAAGCTCTGACATCATCAATGCCCCCGCATATGTCAGGAGACAGAACAAGAGCCTCCCTTTGCGCAGCACTTCAGGAGCTACGACATTACATAGCCGAAGCGCCGCCGAGGACGGTGCGAGCCCAGACCTCAGAGACGGTGTATCTTTTACGGACGCCTCGCAAGAGGACTCCAAGGCCTCGAAATGGGTCTGGGAGCAGTCCTGTTTAATGAAAAAAGTCCAAAGTCATCAACGAGCTTGAGAGCATAGCTGTTCTCCTGCTCTTCATTCTAGCCCGAGAATTTCTCCGGGGAAAACACGTGATGTGCTACTTAGACATTGAAGCGGTGCGCACGTCGCTCCTCAAGCTGACCAGCGATTCAAAGGCCTTGACCCTCTTGAGCAATGCTTGTGCATTGTTGGAACAGGAGCTCGAGATGATTCAGTTCTACGCTCGGGTACCGAGCAAATCCAACGCGGCGGATACCCCATCCCGCCTTGACTTTACAGGGTTGCCACACAATTGCAGGTTCAAGACCAGGTGCTTCTCGCGGAAATGGCCAAGCTGGTAAACTCGCTTGTCGGGCGCCGCGCCTGACACTCCCATGACCAAGGAAGGGACTTGCATTCTCCCCGACCAAGAGAGGGAGATTTCGTTTCTCACACACCTGCAGAGGACAGATCCCGGATGGAAGCAGACATGGCAAATCCCCTTCCTTGGAAAAGATACCTGTGCATAAGCTTCAGTCTTGTTAGCGTGAGGGTGCACGTCATTGCAGTCTGTGCATGTGAATGCATCGCTGTGCATGGGACACAAATGAACAAGCATGGCATCGATGGATTGTCCTGTATCTTTGGCCGGGAAATGTTTTCACACATTTGAAACATTTTTGTTTGGAAAATAAGGTTATCGTGCTGCAAGTACAGACCTTTATTTTCCGGAGAAAAATTTTCGAATTCTCCGAATGAGAAAGTTTTTCGGCTCAGACGAAGAAAGGCCACAGCCCTCTCAGTCACGACCCTCGTGGAGAGGGTCGGGGAAAATTTTCTGCCCACCCACCCACTCCAATAGTGCCTTACATTTGGCAGTTAGGATGTGGTAACCAATGTGCCGGTTGTGGATATCGTACCTTGTAGAGTGGCGACCACAGGAACAGTTGACGACGGAGATTTTGCAACTATGTCAGGAAATGACTCTGTGTGCACAGGATCAGCGCGAGCCTTACTTTGTGTGGCTCGAGAATTGCTTTTCTCACCACTTTGCCTTTTTCAGCACTCTTCATGGCGCGGTCGTTGACACGAGCTCAGCTAGACGAATTTCGAGTGTGGCTTCACGCTTTGAACATGGATTCCCTCGTGAAGGTGGCTGAGGTATTGGACGATCTCATGGCGGACCGTGAGATGCAGCAAAGAGAAGCTGCTGCAGCTCTTCAGCCTCAGTGGCAGTTTGTGAACCCTGAACCTGCCTTGGAGCAACCGGATGAAGCCGCTTCGTCAAGCTCTCAGCGACAGCCAGAAACTTCTTGACCTGTCGTTATGAACCTGATGAATATTCTGTTCAGGCCGTCACACCTAGGTCGGACCTGTGAGGGGAAGTGAGTTAGCCGACGTTCGGGAGATTTCGTTTCTCACACACCTGCAGAGGGGAGATTTCGTTTCTCACACACCTGCAGAGGACAGATCCCGGATGGAAGCAGACATGGCAAATCCCCTTCCGTGGAAAAGATACCTGTGCATAAGCTTCAGTCTTGTTAGCGTGAGGGTGCACGTCATTGCAGTCTGTGCATGTGAATGCATCGCTGTGCATGGGACACAAATGAACAAGCATGGCATCGATGGATTGTCCTGTATCTTTGGCCGGGAAATGTTTTCACACATTTGAAACATTTTTGTTTGGAAAATAAGGACACTGAAATTTGGTGAGCCAGCACTTTCGCTCTTGCTAGGCTGACATATACGACTGCAGCTCGCCAAGAGCATTACCGACCGGCTCTGCGCAAACATCTTTGAGATGGTGATTTTGACTTCCTGGCATACTTCGCATTTTGCGACCTCTCTACGTTCTCAATATCTCACTTGGGTCCTATAGCAATGAATCTCAAAGTCGCGCGCTTTTTCACACTGGGGGGTTTCACATCATGCTCTGCAGGCCTTTAGCCTCCCCCCTCTTCTTAAAGGCCTGAAGCCTCCACGCATCACAACCCAGCTTGGCCTCGCGGGCCTTGTCAAGCCAAGGATCTTCTTGCAACTCGAAGGGGAAATATGCAGGGTTGCTTGCACTCGGTACACGAGTGTACCACGTGATGCTTTCATTCTTTTCTTCTTCCACAGCCACTTCATGAGCAATGCTGTGAAGGACGTCATTGGTCGACCTGCACCTCGAGCACCCTCGTTGTCGACAAAGACTAGAAGATTCTTACGAACAACGCGCTCGCGCCAAAGCCTCAAGCTCATCAACACTGTAAGAGCCTCAAGCTCAGTGATGATTTGCTCTGCGTCCTGAACATTAAGGGCTGCACATTCTTCAGTTGACAAAGGCTGCCCAAGCCAAGATGCTACGCGGCCTTGCTCATCGTACAAAACAGCACACAAGCCGCCAGCACCTCCTTCGTAATGAGCATCAGTGAAGAGATATACAATGTCTCTTGAGTTGGCGTCCACACACTTGACCTTGCCTTTGCCAAAGGCTGATTTGAAGGCTCGCAGGTCGCTGACGCAGTCCTCACTCAGGACTGAATCTGCAGGGTGACCGAACAGATGCTGAGTGAGCGAGTTGAAGGAAGCTCTGCAACACCTGCCGAAAAGGTGTCCTTCTGCAAAGGTCAATGTACCCTTCAGCTTGGCAATTTCCACTCTGCTCAAACGCCCTGCCTCAAGCACTTCAATCACCTTCTGCAAAACGGCGACTCTCAGTGTTACACACGTTGACAGATTCTTTGAGGTCGAAGCTCACGGCCAAGGTTGTTTGTCATGGAGTCAGCCTTAGGCCCATCTTTGTCGTACTTCCAACCCAGAAGCTCTAGCAACAGTGCAAAAGCTTCCCTCCGCATTGGACGCAAGTTCAGGCATACTCGCATTCAGCACGACACGATCAGGTAAACAATGCTCGACAAAACCTTATGAAGGACACGACCGAGGCCCTCCCGCCGAATTGGCATTGCTGGAAGCACTGCGCCTTCCAAGTGGAAGGGTTGAAGGCACACACGTGTGCCCACCGCAGCGACTCATCAGCAATCGCAAGCTGCCTGTAAGCGCTTTTCAGGTCAAACGATCTCGCCAGCACAGCACTGGACTTTCATTTTTTTAGCGGACGCCCCTTTACCACATCAGCAGCACAGTGGGCCGGTCTATTGCGACTGAGTGAGACAAGCAGACTACAACGCAACCAAAACGCCACACAGAAAACAGACGCACAACCAAAAAACAACAAGGGTGAAACGCTGCCCTCGCTCAGAACACGACGATGTCGATGTAGTTCCCTTTTCATTCTTGCTTCATTCTTGCTCAAGGAGAGGCGCAGCATCGCAGCGATTCATGTTTTCATTGTGCTTGCCGGGTAAGCAAAACCTCCGTCCGTAATCAGTCATAAATCACCAAAAGAGCCAAAACAGTCAGTTTGGCACGTTCATCTCAGTATTCGGCTTATGTGCAGTAAAGCGCTTGCACGCAAAGAAAGTCAGACTGCATTTGCGTTGGAAAGCTTGTTCAAAGACTTTGCGTTCAATGGGCTTGTGACAAGACAAAGAAGCATCACTGCAATCATCACCAGGTTTCCACATGATTAAAAACAGATGTGAATGAATGATTCAAATCAAATCAGAACCAGAGCATAACCAAAGAGTGCAGGTCTACCATGGACGAGGCAATTGGGCTGTAACTGAAAAAGAAAAGTGGTGCTTGGGGCCAAGCAGGTCGACTACTCTTTCGCACATGGATCTCTCCGTTCAATTTTCGGCCGTTACCCAGCAGTGCCGACTATCAGAAGGTCTGGGGCTCTGTGGAAGCTGGAAAACCAAGGGGAGGATGGGATCAAGCCATTCAAACCGGTGAAGTACCGAAAGCTAAGATACCAGAGGGTTATGTTTACCATTCGCTTTCCATGAACGGTTCTTGTGGGACAGTCTTGCAGATCAGTCAAGAGCGGATCTTCTTTTCCAAAGTTTCTGGGCCTCAGTTTGCTGCGGAAGCATCGCGGAACAGGCAAGGCTTAAATTCGCAACTGCCCGGCTGAAACAGTTTGCAGATGTAAGGCAGGGCCAAATTTGCTGCCGCGTTCTCCTCTGCAGCTAAAGTTGCTGCAAGAGCAGCTGGCACAACCAAACTAGAGCCCAGCAGCCAGAAACCGAGAGATTATGCAGCGACGTGACACAGTTGCCAAAAGTCCATCAAACTTAATCAATTCTTCCGAATCGCAGGCCCACATTGAAAATCTGGCCAAAGGGAATACGAGCCCTAAACCCCAAAGAGCAGAACAACATGGCCTTCACCGCCTCCTAGATGGTGGGGACCCGAAAGTGGAGCTAACCGTCAGAAGTCCATGAGGGAGGAGATTTAGGGTGTTTTGATGTGTTGGGGGTGGGTTTCCTTGCGGATTCCGGCCAAACCCATAGAATATTTCATCTTGTTATCTATGGGTTCGGCCATGCCCGAAGCATATCTTGTCAGTGGTCTGGGGTTGGGGGTGTTTGATTCTTTCGAAATCTCCCAAAATCTATCTACTTAAGGATGCCTCCAAAACATTAGACCTTCTTCTGCGTCTGTGAACGAATGGGTGCGACGAGCCCAATGTACGTGAGATGGACATCCTGCATGGTACTTGAAGTTATTGTATGATAAACGGCGCGCCGAAGCTTTGAAACATTTGGTTCTGACAGCGTTGGCTTGCATTCATGCAGCTGTTGACCTTCCACAAACACGTAAAATTGATCAAAGGTTTCGAAACTACTCAGACGCGGTTGTGTACTTTGTTCATCAAGGCTGACGTCAAGCACCATTTGTAACGTTGGCCCGAAGTTTCAGTTCGGTTGCAATGTGTGCAAATACGGTCAGTACATACATGGAGAGCCATGCAGCGCTGTCAAGAAGAGCTGCGCACGTTCATGCAATGCTTGACGTTGCCGCCCCCTCCGGCTGCGCATCTCGATTGCTACAGCCTGTTGACTTGCATGCTTCGCCAGCGTGACTTGTGAGGTCAAAAGCATCTCCATCACCGTCGTTGCTTCGATTCAACTTACACATGCTGCCCATTCAAGATACCATGTTTTGTTCCAAGATGTGGATGTTGGCTTGTTCGCATTCGTTAGGACACGGCTTGCCCCTCGAGCGCATTTGCGGCAGCTGCCTCGTTCGTGTTGGGTTCTTGACAAGATAAGACCCAGTTGAATCAAGAGGCGAGGTAGGCATGAACAATGATGGTTTGTTTCTGATAAGTGCAACGTAGCTTGAGCAGTCGCATGGGTTCAGTCAGACTGTCGGGCGTCGACAGTTTTTGATGCTGCGTTTGAGGTTGGACTTGCCCTTTGACAAAGCTTTGGAGGAGCTGACGACGCGATTGGTCCATGAAAACGCACAGGCGGAAGAACTCGCAAAAACGTGCTGTTGCAAGTTGCTTGTCGATGACCTGTTTCGTGGTTCCCTTTTTTTGCGGTAGAAAACATGCTTGGATCTTCGACGCCGCTTATGTTGCATCATGTAGTCCGCGAGTTTGCCGTGGCATATCAGGAACAAGTGGTGGCAGCTGGTTGCAGTCTTAGTGCAACTTTTGCATGGTCTTCGCGTTTGTTGTGTGTGAAGCGTTGTTGGTCACGCAGACGCACGCACTGTTGCCCAGGTGTGAAATCTTCGAAGCCCAGGACCTGTGGACGGGCAAAGGTAGTTGGAGCGAATAAAATGAGGTCGTGGTTGCAAGGCATCAAGTACTTCGCGCGAATCAGCAGGTTTCGATGCATGAGTTTTGGTGGATTACCTGCGTAACATTGACATTTTCTGGAACAGCATTAGACAGCGTCTTACAGAATCTATGTGCGTCATGTCTTCGTCGTAGTCGGATCATGATTGTGTTCAGATCAACAGATACATTTTGCACAACTTCGTTCTTAAAATGCCTTCTGGAGTGTGGGCTGGTGCATTCATGCTTTATGTATGTATGACCACCCTTTTGGATGTTGTGTGCTTTGCGGAGTTCTATGAAGAGCAGTGTAGTACGGCAAATGACTACGTTCTTCAGGAGGCCTGTGTCGAGCGCACAGAGCCGGCCTCGAGCCAGCCCCAGCAAGACACCAAGAAGATCAATGATTGAGGTATTGAGGTGTTGTGCAGTTGTCGGTAATCAGAAGGCCTATTGTCGCACGGGCCAGCCCAAGCCCAAAAATACTTTATGGTGCCAGCTTATGAATGTGAATCTTTGAGGCATGTTTCAGGATCTCTTGAGCTTCTAACTAAACTCGAGCAGTTGCATGCCAGGCCACAGTCCGTCGACATTGAAGCGGGCACGTTCGGTAGGCTCCGTGGGCTCGCGGCCAAGCACGGTGGCCCAGAGGCTCACAATCCACATCATTTCGCTGTGTAGCAGCCTTGGGCGTTGAAGCAATTGAGGACAAGACAACTTTGGTCAACCTTTGGTCGTGATTGAGGTTCTCCAGCGTCCCCTTCATCAAAGAGGGGTTTGACCACGGCAGGACCCGCTTTTTACGACACAAAGTTCAGAGACACACTGCAAATGCAGTGCCATTTTCCTGTTGCGAGTTCCTCACTCGAGTGCAAGGCATGCCGGGGCGTCCGCGCAACTTCCTTGGTCAGTGGCCCCAAACTCCGCCACAACTGGCTTCTCGGCTGCTGCCCGGCAGCCTAGGGTTTGAAAGTTCGTCGCAAGTGAGAGTACACACGTGTGTATCATGTGTAGTCACTCTGTTCTTAGACAAGTAGAGTAAGTTTTCCCTGGATTCATGCTGAATTGGATGGCGTGCATGATCTCCCCGACTTCTGTCCGGATGAAAAAGATTGTGAATTTACTTGAATGCTTACTTATTCGCTCATTGTGCTCCCTCTCTCTCGCTCTCCCTTGCGCTTGATGGTTTATTGCAAGCTTGTGCTCGATATGCTGCAAGTTGGAGTGCGAAGGTCTCGCCATTGCATCGGGCATCAGGGGCCTCCGTCTGCAGGCACGTATGTGTGTCTTTGTAGGAGCCAGGCGCTAGAAGACGGTACAATGCGCTGCAACAAGAAGTGTGCGTTTTTGCTTGTTTGCACATGTTCGTATATGTTTGCACAGACGTCGCGATACTAAATCGGTGGCCCAGTACAGATCCTGTCGGCGACCATCTCGGAAGATCGGCATTCTGTCAGGTACAACGCAACCTCGTGAAGCCTGGGGTGTCACGGCAGCAATGTTGCCTGCAAGTTGCACAGAATTTGAATGAAGCAACCAGATGCGAAAACACAAGAGAGACTTGGAGCCTGAAACCTAGCACGGAACATGTTCTTGCACCTGCCATCACAAGGCTCACCTGCCTCTCCGTCACTTGCACGGTTTCTCTAGCCAAAACATGACTTCCATCGTTGGAGCATCTTCAACTAATCGCTTTCGCCTGAATTCATCCGAACCCCGTGGCTCACTGAAACCTGGGCTTCTGTATACCACTCACACACAGCCTTCGTCCCTTGCCCGAATTTGCCCGAAAGACACGTTCCCACAAGGAAGCTAGAGCACTAATAGTCTCTTTCAATGTTTTTCGAACCTGTCTCTTGTGTCTCTTGTATTTGTTTTTTTCAGCCTTGAACTTGGCACTATCGTTGTGAGACCGGTTTTCTGGTGAATCCTTTCACTTACCGAGGATCAGCAGAACCAGAGCTTGAAACAGATGGCCGGAGTGGGGCTTCTGGAAACCAGCGTGTGCTTTCACATGCACAAACGATGATACCTGATTCAGCACTTTTGCGCAGGCTTGCAGGAACTTGTCCCGGACATGGACGGTGGTGCAGGCACAACCACGCTCGTTTTTTAAGCTCGGATCAATGTGCAGTTTATCCGAGGGGTGGAGCGTTTTGTGGTGCGTGCGAGGGCTTTCGTTAGTCTAGAGTCCTCGCCCCATAAAGATTAGAGGTTCTCTGCTTGTATACCCTTTAAAAGCAAAGTTTTCCTATTGACATGGAGAAGAAAATACGGGTTTTCGGGGATTCGGGGAGGGGGGGGGCTCGTACAAGGCAATTCGTTGGACACCCTGAACCTTTACAGGACAACAGGACAAAGACTTGCTTCTGCCATCTGACTCAGAAGCTGACTCAGCAGAGTCCGGCATGCAACTGCTACCATGTCTTTGTGATTCCGACTTGCGCACCGTGCTCCTCCGGCAAGAAACTTCCAGCAACAGTTTTCTGTTGCGCTTGCTGGTTCCAACAATCGAGTCTTTTGTATTCTCCCCTTCGGCTACATCTCCTCGTTTGCTCCCCAGGCTAGTGGCGATATCTTTCCTAGCGACGTAACTTCCTAGAAAGTTCTCTCTATGGCCGCCGGCCTTTGCGCCATGTTGATTGGCTTCCGCAACGATGCGGTTGACATTTTCAGTCGCCAGTGTCCTTCTCTGTAGCTTCCGCCCCGCCATTCCGTGATGATGAGACCTGCAGCATCCCCCGATTGTCCCTTCACATCCTGCTGCTGCTTGTTGGTCGCTGCCTGCGTCGCTGTGCTTTCCCTTTGCTGCAGCATTCCGAAGGGCACATGTTTGGCCAGATGGATAAAACAGAAAGATCGCGATCTTCTGCTGAGCGTGCTGTTTTACTCGTGTATGGGATTGCAAGGGCGAAGATTTGGCGAACATATGCGCGCAAACGGTCGAAGCCGTTTGTTCAGTCCCCGACGTGGTGCAGCCATTTTCTGAAGTTGTTTTGTGCTGGCAGCGACATTGCCAGGCCCTGAAAAGCAGAGTGCTGACAGAGCTGGAGGAGAAGGCCAAGGTTGAGCAGTCGACCTGTGTTCGAGAGAAGTAAAGTATTCTCTGACGGGTGCATGCCTCCTCCGGAAACTGTCTATAGAGTCTATAGGCAGCTTGGTCCTGTCTTTGGGCAGGTCCTGAACTTCAACTCTTTGGGTCTGTGTTGCGCGACGTTTCACGACGCTCATCGGGCTCCGCGGCACCTACCAAGCGAGGCACAGCCGGGACAAGCCCATAAACGTGCAGCGTACACCCTCGTGCAAGGCGCTGATGATACATGATGACAAATTATGATTTATATTGTTACCTGCTGTTGAAGGCAGAAGCAAGCCTCGGCGACCTGACATGCTCCTGAGTATGGGCTCCTTGGAGTTTGCACATTCATTGACATGCAGGTCCCTGCTCTTATGGTAAGATCTTTGTTGATTGTTTGTCCAGTAACTTTGTTTTTTCGGTCACAAGCTTTCCCTACTTTACATTCTTAGCATGTCTGGGACTCAGCCTGCATTCTGAAAGTGAATTCCCAGTCAGGGTTTGCTGGGTTTCGTGGCAGGGTCGCCTCACGAGGAAAAGAGCAGTTCCCACGATTGATCAGTCTTTCATTCGTTGAGCATGGCAAGGTTCTTCCAGAAGAGGAAGTTCAAACTCGAACTTTTCGGAAGTCGGTCCAGAGCTTGGTTTGAGTAGACCTGGTTTTTACTGCCAGAAGCAGTTCATCTTACAACGGGGCTTGTCCGGTATCCCAGGTGACGAGAGGAGAACATTCTCGAAGAGCAACAGCAAAGGCGGAATTGCTCCGTGAATTGTTTTATGAAAGCGAGCTCCGTTGTAGGCTTCGGGATGGTTCTTGTCCTCGAGGTTGCTCTTAACCCGGTTTCTCGGTATTTCTCGGCTCGAAGAAAACCCCAAAACCCCAAAACCCCAAAACCCCAAAACCCCAAAACCCCAAAACCCCAAAACCCCAAAACCCCAAAACCCCAAAACCCCAAAACCCCAAATCCCCAAAACCCCAGAACCCCAAAACCCCAACACCCCAAAACCCCAAAACCCCAAAACCCGAAAACCCCAAAACCCCAGCACCCCAAGACCCCAAGACCCCAAAACCCCAAAACCCAGCAAAAGAATTGAACATTGAATTACCATTTACTAACTTTTAAACACCCATAAACCTATCTTTTCTAGCTCATACGGTCCCTTCCATCTATCTGTCAACCTCACTTTAAATTTCTTCAGTGACTTCCTCAGTTCTTCTGAAGTTGCCAAGAACTCAACAAGTCTTAAACCGCTGCCTATCCCTGTTCCAATTAGAGCAGTTTTTCTGTTCACAGTCAAAAACTCTAGTCTCCATGTTTCTCGAAAGTTCTTCACTGAAGATTGGTTGCCCTGCCCTTCAGATTGTAAATCCTGTAACTCTGAGGTTGGCTGTTTAGAATGTGAAGACTACATGTTTCTAAACCCCACAACATTAAGGTGACAAAGCTGCCCTGCCCCAAAACCCCGAAACCCCAAAACCCCAAAACCCCTTTTGCAAAAAAAATGTTGAGCGGGGGGAACCGAGGCAGCACATGTTCATTTATCCCTGGCCCTTTCCCAGAGTGTGGTTGTGGGGTTCTGGCTTGGGCGGAAGGCGGGGAAACTTTTCGGCATGAACAGCCCTGTGGCAGATTTGCAAATTGAACGTATATATAAATATTTTCGTTTCTGGTATAGTGAAAGCCATTGAATTCCCATCAGGTTGGCCGAAATGGATTTGTACACAAATATTTTGTGTGAAAAACCAAACTCAGGTCGCTCGAAATATCTGGCGTGGTTTCGACCGGGGTCCTTCTTAAGCTGTAGATATGTAAGACGCGGTGTAAAGATCAGAGGCAGTTTTGATCTTCAGATATCCGGGGCTGCCACTAGCATGGTGCAGCATGGTGCGCACTTTCATTCAGACTGCATTTCTCAGCACTTCTCTGTGCTTTCCCTTTGTGTGTCACTTTTCGAGCACCTTGGCATGCAGATTCCAGCCTGGCCGTGCCGAGCCCCTACCCCATCCAGGCATCGGTGCTTGTGCATGAGTTTGCAACAGTATTCCCTTCTGCTCCATACATGGACCTGTTGGCCCCTCAACCTGCATACGACAGACTTCTACCTACCGATGAAGATGTTGCTCCAGCAGAAGCATGAATGATGGGCGTGGAATTTCAGCTGACATTGCAGGGTCTCCAGCAAAGTCGACAAAGGGTTCTGACGGAGTGAGTATGATTGATGCCCTCAGTAGGCAAACATGCGAGCAGGAGGTGGCTGAAGTAGCCCCGAGATCCAGAGCAAAGGACACCGATGCTTTAGCGTGGCACAAGTTTCTTGTAAGTCTTCTGAGTTCGATCTGGTTTCAGCACTTTGAAGCAGCCATGACAGCTTGCGCATGCCCTGCAGTGCTCAAACATCTCCGAATATTTGCAGCTTCCGTCACATTCTGAAGCAGGAGTTCACTGATCAGCGACTTGCACAGATGCTGCAGTTGCCGCTTGAAGTTGTGAAGCAGGCCAGGCTTTAACGCTCACAGTGGAGTTGCTCAGTGGCATCATGTGTTGCCAGGGACCACGGCCCAAAGAGCCCTCAATCCATTCCTCAAGCAATCACCGCGCAGAGGCCGCACACTGCTTTCGGCAACACGCTGCACGGCAGCAGGGAGAGCTTTAACCTGGCTGTGGTGCAGTATCGTTCCAATTGACCAATTAGACTTCAGCTGTCGATGTTGTGTCTTTCAGTTGAGGTCAGATGTCGGTGAGATTTGGAGTGTCAAACATGAGAAATTCTGATTTGCTTGCACTGGCCTTCCACTAGTCGCCAGAGCAAGATGCTCCTCCATCTGTTCAAGCCTCAACAGCTCAAGCCCTCTCTCAGGACTGCGTTGGAAGTTGCATGACTCAACTGTGAGTCAAGGTAGAAGCTCCATCGCCTGCCCTGCAAACAAAACCTGATTTTTCTGCGGGACCCAAGTTCCCACATGAACAAACCTGGTTTGTCAGGCAGCGTGTGAACCTCCAAGACGTCCAGATTTGTGGAGAAGCTTGACTGCTGCTTTGTGAGGTCTACTTCATCCGAAGCTTATGCCATCATGAGAGGTTTGAGAGGCAATCCCATAATCTTGTAAGTTGTGATTGTAGGTGACATGTTTGATCCGTTGACCGTCTTTAAATAAAACGAATGATTTGACAATGCCGTTGAAGGGAAGCCCCGCCCAGTCCCGCATCCCAACTCAGGATTGAAACAGTCGGACTTTGAGAAGGCTCGCTTGCTCGGTATCTAGAGGTCGAAGACGAGAATCTTGATTGCCTTTCAACGAGTGAAGTCGTGCAATGTCGTGCATTTACTTCTCAAATTGCAGCACATCGCTGCTGGATTTCTCAGAACGCTTCAGCCTACTCGGCTCCCAGGAAAGCCTTCGGAGCATGACTTGTTCGCAAAAAGGGTGGCGGTTGGGTTGTCGTTTAGATTTCTTCCGTGTGGGCAGCGAGGATGGGCGGATGGTGGCGGATGCTGCCGTATGGGCACTGAAGGTGTTTCGGCCTGTTGGCGTCCGGCCCTGTGAGGGTACGGGCTGTGCGGGTACGGGATTGGTGAGAGGCCGTGTTCTGTTGACCCGGCACGTGCCGCTGCTGGACTTTTCATTCGCTCCCCCAACCCGAAACGCATGATCCCTTCGTGCCAGCCCCCAGACCCAGATTATCAGAATCCCAATAACTGCCCAAATGGCAGTTGCTATGTCATTACACCAGGTTATGAGTCCTGTTTCTCCCATCGAGTGGAGCGAGGTTGTTTCATGATATTTTTGTAGCCCTACTCCCCCGTTTTGATCGCCCCGAAGTTGGCTCTTTATCCATCCACATGTCCCGTGCAGTCCGCAGCACAAGCGCTACAGGTTGACATCCTCGGTCCTTGTGGGGTTTAGGGCTTCGCGGTTTAAGGGTTTAGAGATTGCGGCAACGCATTGAATCAACCAGCCATAGGCTGGATCCTAAGCCCTTGTATCGCAAGGGGTCTGTCTGTGCAGGTTTGCCGGAGTGGATTCCGGGCAGTACCCCATGAGAAAATTAAATTGCCTGTGTGCCTGTATGTGGCTGTGGCCCCAGCCTTGAGACGGGCGCTTCACAGCACAGCACAGCACCTCTGAAAGTATGCTGTGGACCAGGATGCTAGCAAAGCAGACTCCAAATCAAAGCGTGCGTTGCGAGTGGAGCTGTGCTGCTATGACACGTCGATCGGCTGCATACTCCCAACTACTAAAGTCGTTGCGTTTCTTACATGTGACCAGCAGACATTGCGGGAGAGTGTTTCGGGGGGTCGTTGCGTTTGGGGTGTCTACATGGGGATTCACATGAGAAGTCCTTGCTAGTTTGCTTTAAACAAGAGCGGGAAAGGATGATAGGAAAGTCATGCCTATTCGTAAATCGCAAGAGAACGCGCGCAGCCAAGTAAAACCTTGAATTGTATCACAAGTGACTCAACATGACTCAGCTATCCCGACAAAGACGGGAGAACGAGCTGAATCCTAGAATCTGGCGCACGCAGATGAACCACAGTTATCATGACAGAATAGCAGAAAGCACAGGACGCCTTCAAAGTACACTCGCCGGTATCGTCCTTATACAAAAAGTCAATTGTGACAGGCATCGTCCCGACCAGAGAACATTTTCCGGAAACAATGTTATACTGTGGTCAGATGCCTTCAAACTACGCTCGCAGATATCGTCCTTATACAAAAAGTCAATTCCGAGAGGTATCGCCCCGACCAGAGAAAAACTCCGAAAGCAAGGTTAGTGCCTGGAGAAAGAACTGAAATGCACTGAAAGTACATGCTGTTCCTTGGGGATTGAGTGCCAAATGCCTCTCTGAATGGTCTGCTTCATGGCTTGTTGGGGACTGCTGTTCCTTGCAGCAAAAGGTGATTGCAAGGACCCTGCCGCGAACCCCTTGTTGCGCCGTGTTCATTAGGGATCTCTACAAAACACCATGTTTGCAAGGACTTCCGCGTTTGGGAGTAGCCTGCTTGGTCAGGTTCTCTGCGATCTTTGCCATGTGGCAAACATCAGCGAGCTCTCCCATTTGTTTGTTTCCAAGGCCTGTGCAGATGTGCAATGATGTGCAGATGCAGTATGACCTCAGGGCAGGCTTAGGTTTGGGGCATTTGGGGTTAAGATGGAGGCGGTTGTCGGGAGCAAAATGGCCGAAAGCAACGGTCAGCTACGAGCACGAACATGCAAAAAGTAAGTGTGTGTGTGTGTGTGTGTGTGTGTGTCTGTGAGCGTGTGAGTGTGTGTGTGTGTGAGCGTGTGAGCAGCAAGTGTCAGCACACAGAGTCTGACGTTGGTAGGCTCTGTTGCATTCAGTAGTCTCTTGCACAGGCTTTCAGGCTTGCGGACATGACGAAGAGCGGGGACCTGGATCTTCAGGAGATGCAGTGCCGTTTTGGGAGCCCGGCCCAATTGCAGAGCGGGATCGGGCAAAAGCTCTGAAGAAGTTTCGGGGTCGAAAGGGGCGTTGCAGCGTTATCAGCGTTGCAGGCGGGTCCGAGGGGAGGTCCGGGTGCCCGAGGTTGAGGTTTTGCCTGGGGTAAGCGGGGGAGACCAGATGATGGTCTGCTAGTTCCAGACACCTCTACACCTCTCGGCCGGAAGCCCTAGGCGAATATGTGTTTGGTCGATGCCTCATAAATCAGGCAGGGCAAAAACATTGCTCATGCAGCATGCTGTTGAAGGATGTGCCTGGCACGGTTGGTGGTGCAGACCTTGTGCGTACTGTGTTTGTGAGGAGTTTGTCACCTGGTATGCCACGTTCAGCTTCTCGGAGGATCTCCTGCGCTTGCATTCAGAGTTGACGCAAGAGCAGTCTGTTCGGAGTGTGCCCATGACAGCCGTGATGCTTCCGAGCAGTGAGAAAATCTCTAAGCGGTCTTCTTTGATGGCCGAGTCCGATACTTTTAAAATGCGAAAAATACTCGAGCTTGGGGGGAAAGAGCAGCTAACCTGACATGTCATTCCAAGGGTGGGAAGGGTTTGACCAAGATATGAAAGTTGATACTAGGGGTCCCAGTTTTGGATGACTGATGATGACTGTCCTGTGGTGTTCCGAGCTCGCCGTGGTCCCAATGCTCTAAGACACGGTCATCTAGTTACCGTGCTCGCGGTCCTTTGATGTCCTTTGCATGCTTGAAAATGCAGTGCTGTGGCATGCTTGGAATGTGGCCACGCTGCAAGAGCGCCTTTGACACCCGCTGGATACTTTCCCGTGTGCCAGTAGTATGGGGTCCGGAAAGTGGTCGTGGAACGGGGAAGTACCATCAGTCAACCGACTGCACCAAAATGGACTATGCCTTGCCTTTCGCTGCCTTCTGACTGGGGAACTTTTGGCCATTCCAGCGTGGAAACGCATCCAGTGATTGGATATTGGATTGCCGGACGATGGTGTCTTCGTTGTTTGTCGGTGCTGGGCAGCGGGTATTGGGTACCGGGCGCCGGGTACTGGGTGTATATATATATATATATATATATATATGCTCCCCCCCCCAATGGACCAACCGCGAAATGGAAAAGAAGTCCAAAAGTCCAAAAACCCAAAAGTCCAAAAAGCAGGGTTGGAGGTTGGTCCATTGGGGGGGGGGCGACCATATATATAAATATATGTATATCCGCCGACCCCAGCATGGCGGGGGCGGCGTCAGTGAAGACCCTATATATATATATATCTACCTATACTCGTTGCTGATGGACACTGGGTGGGTGGGAAATCAACTACTGAGTACTGGGGACTGGGTACTGGACATGGGGTGCTGTACTGGGTACTGGGCACTGGGCATATTTTGGGTGCTGGGTACCGGTAGCAAAATACTTTGTATATATGCAGGGGTACTGTGGGAGCTGGGAACTGGGTACCGGGTACCGGGTACTGGGCACCGGGCATTGGGTACTGGGTACGGGGCCTGGGGTACTGGGTGACAAGGTGACTGGGTGACTGGGTTCCTGACTTCTCTCAGGACCCGCGAACACTTCTTCCAATTTTTGCGCATGGCGTTCTCTTTTTGTGGGCTCTGGACGCAGAGTCGTGGCGGAAGTTTTGCTGGCGCTCAGAAGTAGTCTCTCCTCGAAGCGAATCGTCAGTAACTTGCTTTCTTGAGACGCGGAGGCTTAGGGCATTTTAACGCTACGCGACCCGCCTCGGCCCGGCCCAGCGCATCCGCGTGAGCATGGTGAATCCGCAGCGCCCAAGTCGCTGGACCCCAAGCAATAAGGGTTGGGTTTAGGGTTTAGGGTTCCGAGTTTATGGTTTATGGTTTGGGGTTTCGGGTTGAGGGTTAGTTTAGGGTCGAGGGCTTAGGGCTCAAGGTTCACGGTCTGGGGTTTAGGGTTTTTTTGGGTTGAGGGTTCAAGGTTCAAGGTTCAAGGTTGAGGGTTGAGACGGTTCGGCTTGGATTGATCGTAAATTTGAGCCAGGCCCCTCAAGCGGGGGGGGGGGGGGGTGGAGGGGGGGTAGCGGTTGGGGGGGGGTAGAGAATGTTAGTCGTGTTGGTTGCAACTGGGGTGTGTTGGGCACACGCGTGTTGAGAACAGGGGGGCGTGTTGGGAACAGGGCAGGCGTGAGTCGGGAACGCAGGGAGGGTGAGTCGGGAACAGGGCTCATGTGTACAGCACGCCCCGGTTGAGATGGGAACGGCTGCCCCCCGGAAGTGGGTTTCGGAGTGATGACCCTACTCTGCAGGTTTGTTTTAAGGCCTCTTTCGACGACTTGGAGTTGGGTCTACCGTCTTCATTTCAGCTTCCAAAGGGCAGACTTTACGAGGGGAACACATCCGACGTGTCATGAACCCGCACACCAATTCGGCGTGTTGGTGTGCGGGTTCATGACACGTCGGATGTGTTCGCCTCGAAAAGTCTCCCCTTTGGAAGCTGAAAAGAAGACTGTAGACCCAACTCCAAGTCGTCGAAAGAGGACTTAAAACAAACCTGCAGAGTAGGGTCATCACTCCGAAACCCAATTCTGGGGGGCAGCCTTTCCCAACTCAACCTTCGGGCGTGCTGTACACATGGGCCCTGTTCCCGACTCACCCCCCCCTGCGTTCCTCACTCACGCCTGCCCAGTTCCCAACACGCGCTCCCCCTGTTCCCAACACACCCTCGGCCCGCCTCAACCTTGATGCGGGGGGTAGAGGGGGGGGAGCGGGGGGTAGGCGGGGCTTCAACTGCCCCTGGTCCTGGCGAACCGTCCGCTTTCAGTTGGGGGAGGATTAGGAGGGGGGTGCCTGTTCTGACACCCTATACACCTTCGGCCCGAGGCCTCGGCGCATTAATCGAAAGCCACATCTGTCTGATGCGTGAGATGCGTGAGCATCAGCCTGGTGAAGCCAAGCACCCACCCGTACCCCAGAATGAAAAGGGTCAGCAGCATGTCCGCATGTATTGCATAATTTTCCATTACACCACCATCGTGGGACGTGCAGTCGTGAGTTCGCAGGGTCAGGCCATCGGCACAATGGAAGCCCTGCTGTTGAGAAGGCTGACAGCATGTTGTTGACATGCAGGAGCTGCTGCTTGGGAAATCCACAAAGAGTGTTCGTTCAGCCACTGGGCGTGATTATCGACGGGCTGGTCATTGTTATTGCTCTTCTTGTTATTCTTGTATTTGTTCTGGTCCATTTATCATTTGCTCGCCGTTCGGATTTCCCCCTTCGAATACAAAGGACACAAGTTTTGCTTCCTTCGGAAACTACACAGAGAGCGGCAAGAAACGAACATTCAACAAAGTGGGCCCTCCGTGTGGAAATTCTTGCTGCCAGGTGGCCCGCAGTTTGGGAATCAATCTGCTCGACATCGAGCGCTACAAGCGCGTCTTCGACAGCTACGATAAAGACAAAAGCGGCGTCATTGAGACGCTTGTGCGCACTCTATTTATAAAATTTGTGTGTTTTGCCATTTCCACGAGAATTTGTCGCTTCATGCGTTGAATCGAAAGGATGGCAGAGTTCCGGCTGATGGTGAACCGCCTGCTAAAGGCACCGCCAGCCAGATTCCATTGCACGATGGGTGATCGGCAAGCATGCTGCATGATTTGCAGGTGCCAGCGGGGCATCACTTGCCATCATCAGTCGAGACTTGACCAGCACTTTCGGTGGCCTTTTGTAACCGCTTTAGCATCTGTAGGAGGCTGCGAACAGTGTTGGCTGGATCGTTTGACTTGAGGTCATCAGACTGCAGTTGCCACCAAGTTTTGTTGGTCATTGTTGATGCTGAAGAGAATCAATTTATGTGTGTCGGCGTGCCGTCTGTCATTCCTTTCCTCAGGTGAAAAGCTTCTGGAACATGGCGGACAGCTGCTTGCCGAAAGGGTCAACTACTAGAGCCGGACTTCTCTTGCTTGGCTTCTTCACGAAGGTTGTGTGTTTTTCAACTTGCGCCCGTAGCGACGAGCTATGTATGTTTGAAAACCTGTGAGGTGATGGGAATGGCGAGATTGACTTCACCGAGTTCTGTGAGTTTTATTTGACATTTGGCTGCAGAGAGGCAGTGTTATTGCCCATTGCACGGGAGGAAAGCATGAGCCCCAAGGCAACTTGTTTGTGCAACATGTTTTCACAGTATCCATGTTCCCGGAAGGAGAAATGTAATTTCGAAGTCCTCGGGAGAAGTCTGATTATGTAACGTTATTTTGAAAGATTAAACTCTCAATGATTAAAAACACGTTACCAAAGGCATATGATCTGCCTTGAACGCTGCTGCGTCCTTGCCCTTGACCGCTGCGGTGTGGTAGCCGCAAGCACTGTTAGGGTTTGTTCACATTTCCCCCTGTTAGGGTCTATTCAGTTCTTTTTCCCACAGTGCTGGACTTGCTCAGGAAAGTTTTCATGAAAGACGAGGGAGGTTTCCAGCTGAGTGATTTGTACAGGGACATCCGAAAGGTTCCAGTGAACAGGCGGCGTGTTTCAGGCTGACAATCCGCTGTCAAGAACTAGGACTGCTTTCCATCCAAGCCTTCCAACGAAGAGCAAACTCTTGGAGATGTCCCCCAATTGGTGCGGAGCATTGATAGATTCATGCCGTCTCTATGCCGCCGAATGGCGGCAGAGCTTTTGCTTGGGAAGTGCTTGTCCTGAGTTGCGAGACGATTATCGTTAGCATCACTGCAATGAATATAATGAAACCAGATGCTTTGGCTAGAGTCGGGCAGATTTCCGACAATTTGTGCGTTGAGCGCCTGTGAGGGCCCACGCCCCTTTCCATGTCTTTAGGATCCACTCAGAAGTTTTGTGCCTCTTCATCCCAGAATTGCTCTCTGAGAGATTCGATCCTGGGTGCTGTGGCTCTTATTTTGCTTTGCCGTCAGCCTTGCATACCCGGTCGCAAGCTGTCGCAAGTGCACGTGGGCGGATGGTTGTGTGAGTCCAAAACTCCGCCTCCCCCTCGAAGGGGTGGATGCATGGGAAAAGCAGGTGGTGGCACGATGGCAGATGCTCGTGAGCCCAAGCAGTACTCAAGCTAGTCTTCAGATGTCTTGAGTCGTTAGTCCCAAGCTGATATGTTTGCAAGTTGGAGCGGCTTGCATGTGGACCTGCCGCCGATCTGCGCCGATTTCCGCAGTGCTCGAGCCAAGTGGTTCCGCTTTGGTCCGCCAGGCACCGGAACTTCAGTGCTCATTAGGTCTCTGGGCTGACCACACAAGTTGACTCCCCTCGCCTCAACCGTCTAATTCAACTCCAGGGCCACTTCAAGCTTCCCCCAAAAGGGGTTGCAAAGCCTGTTTCGAGAAAGCCTTGACCTGCTCTAGGCCGCCTGGCAGCCATGGGCGTACAGAAGGCAACCGCGAGGCCTCCAGCATCACGGTTCACAGCCAACGTCGCTACATGAAGGCAACCAATTTACAGCACCTGGCCAGTGCAGACAACACTGCGATATCGCAACTTGCGAAAAAACAGACTTATTTTGCAGTAAATCATCACTCTCTCATCAGATTTTCGGCTTGGAAGATTCAAAGATGCAAAGGCGACAAACCGCAACAAACCCAAGCGAAACCCAAACAAACCCCAGGTAGAGTGGAGGGATGCGCTCCGCTGAGAAGCGGAGCAACTCGGGGCCTGCCCCCCCCCAACTGCATGGCACTGCCTCCATACACAATGTTGCACAATGTTGTCAAGAAAAACGAACAAGAAGCGCTACAAAAAGGACAATTGCACCCAGACACACAAGCCCCACTTTCAGATTCCCACGTCATCCCACATTCATACTCGCAATCACACTTGCTCGCACAGGCAAGCGCTGCTCTGTCCAAAGCCCGGTCGCGTACTTCTGAGAAAGCCTGCTGCCCAGACGCCGAAGAGGCATTGTTTCAACTTGTGTTTTCTGATGTCCTGCCTAAGGCACCTCCGTAAGCGGAAGAAGTTTAGCTCCAAAGCTCCGCTCGTGTCCAGGCGAAAGCACTCTCGATCGCTTCTTTCGCGCACTTTCCAGCTATTCACAACCATGCAGAGCCATTCTGGAATAAATTCCTTATCATGTACAAGGGCCTTGCAAGTCGTGCAGGCCTTGGTGGTCGGAGCTACCGGGCTGGATTGCTCTCCATGCCGAGTGAGGCGCTTAGTCTTGGACAGTCTTGGACAGGTTCACGGTATGCAATGAGCCCAGCTTCAATCAGGCAAGAAATGACACACCGACATTCCTCAATCCTTATCCTAGATTTGCAGGAGAGGGCCAGTGCGCAAATGCTGGGAAGGCCATCGACTAGTTCTCGACAGCCAGGACTTCTTCACGCTAAGCTGCAGGGTACAAGACCTTGGTGACCTCCTTGGTGACCTTGGTTTGAAGTGGTGCTCCTGCTTTTGTCGTTTCCTTTCGCTTGCAGGATGGACGGCGGCATGGATGCTGCAGCAGGCGAATCTGTCGGAGAGTAGGGAGAACACCTAGAGAACAAAGGACTTGGCTTCGCGGCTACACTGTCCTCGCAAATGCTACGCTGCTTCACCGTCCATCCATGTCGTTTTCCAAAGTATGAGCATACATCAGCTGTGACACTCTCAAGAAGTCGTACCCAACCTGTATTCAGGCATTCAGGACGAAATTTTGAGACTCCGCACTTGTAGGTGCTTCGAACAGCCCGCGGCTGGCGAGACCGTCCTCGTGTGCCATGCGCCGTGCACTTAGCGAACGCAGCCCAGCTCAAAACGAATGTCAGACAGGATCATGGGTGTGCCAAGTATTAGGCTTATGAGTGTTGTCATGAATTTCTAGGATGCGTAGACAACCGCTGATCGCAATAGTATCCTGCTGCCAGAGCCACATTTGTCAGACAGTTTCGCGCGTGCACAGCTGAGTTGGCTTCAGAAGTCTAAAGAGGCCCATGGAAGTGAGTCTGAGAAACTCATTGCGTAGAATGAATGGTCTTTTCCCAGAAACTCATATAATCGTTGTGAGGAATTGTGATGCATTCGCTGAAGTCTTAAAGTGACTTGTGTGCTGCAGTGCTATCAGCAGAACCTAGCATGTGCCGATAGTTTCCTGAATAGTGGTAGCCACCATCCAAGCCATGTACATACGAGCAGCAATGGACTCAGTCAGGCAGGGCTTGGAAGCATGTTAGCAGTGGTGAGCAGCTGCAACTATTTGCAAGCATACATCTTGGCTAGTCCCAAGCAGGCAGCTGGTTGCCACCCATGATGCAACGGAGGCCACTTTCAGCGAATGTTTCGTAAAGGCTTGGAAGGCTTTGAAAGAACGCAAGTACTGTAGATCACGAAAATGATTGTAGGAGGAGGTCGCACACGAAGCAAAAACACTTGAGATTTGCCAGGAGCAGCCGCGCCGTGCACGCAGTGCACGTGCGCTGCTCACACTGGGCGCTGTGGGAGGCAGCAGCAGTTACTTTTAAATGCTGCGTGTCGACTCTTTTCGGCCATTTCGGTCCAAAAACCAAGAACATTTTACTTTACGCTTAGGGTTGTTAAGGCTTTTTAAGCCCCAGCCAGGTGGCTGTAGGGGGAAACAAGAGGGGTTCGAAATCGCGAAGAGTTTCCTGCCGGGCAACCTCTCCACTTCAAACCAGACCAGTAGCAAAATTCAAGAAACGGATGAGTCGATTCACAAACCAGAGTGGGAACTAGATGGGGATTGTGGCTTGGGGCCTTTGAGGGGGGCCGGAGGGAACATCTCGAGCACTAGCAATCCAATTTGCAAAGTAAAACTCCGTCAAGCTCCTGAATTGGAACACCCCCGGGTAGTTTTGCGTTCGTTGCGTGCTCGCCAGGCTTTCTTGTTGCCTGCTTGGCCGGTGTGGTGATTCTTCTTGTTGGACGTCGAGTCGGCGGAGGCCTGACTCCTTAACGCTCAAATGTTAAACCGTGGTAACCTTTGCCAAGATGATCCTGTGACGCCGACTGTTGAGTCCAGAACTTGCATGTGCAGGCCACGCTGTTGATCCGTTTCTCTACTGCAAGCAGAAAGGTGGTGAAATACACCTACGCCTTGGAACGAGATACAGCAAGCAAACGACGTAGGCTGTGTTGTCGGCCGTGTGATCACAAAGCGCCGGATTCTGTTCCATGTTAGACAAGGTCTTTCTTAGTGGGCTTGTCTGCTTGGCCAGCGGAGACCCCTACAGGGAGTTAGCTCACTTTGCTCCGACTGTCTTCACATTTCCTTGCGTTGCAGCCAAGAGCTTCCCAACGCTGATGCTAAGGTCATCCGTGAAGGTGGTGCTCAAACTGCAGCACGTCAAGCAAGCAGGAGGATTCTCAGAACTTGCAGGTTGCAGATTTGTACGTGTTCGTGACTTGTCACGAGAATGTGTGCTAACGTTAACTACGTAAGAATCTGAAACATCGAAGGTGTTTCGGAGGGAGGGAGGGAGGGAAGGAAGGAAGCAAGGAAGCAAGGAAGCAAGGAAGCAAGGAAGCAAGGAAGCAACGAAGCAAGGAAGCAAGGAAGGAAGCAAGGAAGGAAGGAAGGAAGCAAGGAAGCAAGGAAGCAAGGAAGCAAGGAAGCAAGGAAGCAAGGAAGCAAGGAAGCAAGGAAGCAAGGAAGCAAGGAAGCAAGGAAGCAAGGAAGCAAGGAAGGAATCAAGAAAGACAGAAATCGAAAAGAAAGAAATAGCAAAAGAAAGAAGGCAAGGAAGAAGTCGTACCAAAGCATACGAATCTTGTCGAAACCCATTATGCGAGCATTGTGTTTGCAAATGGGGGGGGGGGGGGGGGGCTGCCCCCCCAACAACCCCCCGCTGTTTTTAAGTCGTGCCAGCTTGCTTCAAAGCATGCGCATCTTTTCGACGCCTCTGATGCAAGCATTGTGTTTGCAAATGGGGGGAGGCTGCACCCCCCCCACCCCCCCCGCTTTATTTTTGAGTCGTGCCAGGTTCCCCCCCTCCCCCATTGATTTGCAGCCTCCGGAACTGCTGTTTGCAGTAGTTCCAGCCTTTGAAAGCGCAGAAATTCTGCTATTTAGCCTCTGGAAACTCAGAAATGCTGCAATGTACAATATTTCCAGCCTCTGAAAGTGCAGAACTGCTGCTATATACAGTATCTGCAACGTCTGGAAACTCAGAAATGCGGCCATTTTCAGTAGTTCCCGCATAAATGCTGAGCTTGCGAACGGCAGAAACGCTGAGCGTTTACAGCCTCCGTTCCGCTTGCAACAAGCCTTCGAAGCCTTCAGTAATTGTTTTTTGATCGCAGATAAGGTTTTTTTGATCCGCCTATAAAATATTTTGTGATCCCACATGAATATTTTTTGATCGCCTATGCATGGGGGCACAGTTTGGATATGTGACCGATAATCTGTGGTCCCAGACCCTCAACATGTGGGCAGAACATTTCGAGTTCCTACCCACCCGACCCCGGGATAGCCCTGACGCGGTTCAGGGAGGTACCGGATACGTCATACCAGGCAAAAAGGAGCGAGGGCCTTTTTGGGTATGTGTGGATTTCTGAGTTAGTGCACATGCAGATGCTGTGTGTTATTTCATCGGCACCCAGTTAGCATATGCAAGATGCGCGGAAGTGTGCGAATGTTCAAAGACGGGGTCATCGTAGGCTTTGTAAGGCCGGTGGCACGAATGGCGATGCCACACCCGATCTCAGGCCAAGGGTTCGATTCTCTTCTCGATGAGCCAATGTATGTTGACAGGTAGTTAGCTGGGCAAAAGACGAACTTGGGTTGAGTCTTTGTGCATTCGGCTAGCCCGTCTTCTGCCGGGCTTGAGCGTGCAAACGCTCCCAGGTGCTGTCAAGTCCCGAAAGGCTGTAGCCTTTGTAACCTCTACTGGGAAGCAATTCATTTAAGCTCTGGACTCGACTTCGGCTTTGGCTTTGAGCGGCATTTGACATGTGGGGCCCCTGGAGGTCGGAGTCGCCAGCGTGCCCACGAGCGCTTCTGGAGCAGGTGCTGGCTTTTGCTGTTTTGGAGAATGGACGAGCTTGCTGTTGTTTTGATGTGGGAAGCCAAGGCATGCGCTGGTTCATGTCTCATAAGTGGGTACATTATGGATAGTGCAAAGTGAGCTGCTCTCATGTCGAACGACGTTCGCACTACTACCAAAGCAAGACAATGCTTGCAACAACGAATGAAATTCCGCCTTGTGCAGTTTTTTTGTTGCACAGGGTGAGCGCAAACTTCAAAGTCATCGAGATATCGAGTGAAGCCACTATATACTCATCGTTTTTCACGACTGGCGCAGCACAGTCTTCCGGTCTGGAGTGCACTCGCTACTGCGATGGGCGCAGTCGTCGATTTTGACATTTGATCTCCAGCGATCACGCAGTCGTCGATTTCTACATTTGATCTCCAACTATCTTTGCGTCTTGGCAGGTGCGTACGCAGTATGCACGCTCTGCCGAAAGTGTGTGGAAAAGATAGTCGCACAATTGAGACCTATGATCATGTCCAAGCCTTTTGGGTCACCGTGGAGGGATGGAGGCAGGCTTTCTCCCGGCTGCATTGGAGTCGGACTTGATATCCTTTGTTTCTGTTCGTGGCTGTAAGCAGCCAACCTGTGTGGTCTGGCGGTGGATCTGCAACCGGGCAGCCCCTCTGACTGAGCCTGGACAGCAGTGCCTTGCATCAGATGTTGACAGCGCCCTATTCCCAACATAGAGCAACTTGTTCATTTGTTGTTCATAGCGCAAGGTCCTCTTGGGAGCTTAGCCTGGCTTGGCTTTCTGGGCCGGGTTGATTTTCTCAACCTAGTCTGCTACCTCAGCTCGCAAAGGTCAGGTTTTCAAGTGGGGCTGTCTGTGTAGTGCAAAGCCTCATTGCAGAAACCCAAGATGCTTGTTAGGTCTGCTCGCGTACTCCGAGTTTGCACACCACCCTGCTGGAAGCTAGAGCTTTCGTCCCTCATCGTGCGTGGTAAGTGGTATGAGCCAACAGATGCTGCACAATGCTGCAAACCGTCCTCTGGTAGTGCCTCTGCCGTAGGAGAGGCAATGCAATGCTAAATGAGATGTCGAACACGGCAGGTATGCGCGCTTGGCTGAGAAGTCTCCTTTTCCAGTGGAGGCATTCCCCAGTTTTTGTTGGAGCGAACTAACATTAGGAAGAGAGGATGCTTATGACCTTTGTAGATTCGAGCTGTTTTGTCAGGTCGATATACAAAACGAGGATGACGTGATCTATTATGGCCACTTGTATGCTTCCATGCCCTCACTCCGGCAGCACAGTAGAATGTGGAGATATGTGGACCTTCGTGCCGGGCTGTGCCCCAAACAGGGTTATGAAGGCCGGGGCTGACGTGGAGATGTGTGGAGATTTTGTGAGTTTCGTTAGGTAGATAGCTGCTAGGCCCTGCTAGGCTGCTGTTGACGGTTCTGGCCTAAGCTGGATTGGATGTCTGCTAATCCCGATCCGAGGAGCCTTGGGCTTGGGGACTCCTGTCCAAGGCTTTCGCGTGATTTTCGATACAGGCCCTTCAGAGCGCTTTTCTAAGCATCATCCTTGAAGCTTTCTGTCAGCGTTGTAGAAATGTTGTAGATGATTGCAGATTGCGGAGGCTCGGCCAATCTTTGGGTGCCTTCTGCAGAGTGCGACAACTGTGATACGACAAAGCCTGTGACTCAGATGTCAGAGTTTCTCTCGCGTGCGCAAGCACTGAAGGGTGAGCGAAGGCTCGTGAAGGCAGTGAGGGTCGTAAGGACCAATAAAG